AGGCAGATGCCTAACGACTGAGCCACCCAGGTGCCCCTAGGAATTTTTTTAATGGAAGTTAAAACAAGGAAATAATACTGTCCGCCCAACAATTTGCCAAAAATTGAAAAAAATGATGATAAGCCCAGAAAGATCTCAAGAGATGGACACACGTGTGCTGCTGATAAATAGGAAATTGATACAGCTTTTTTGAGGAGCCATCTGATCATATGACTCAAATGTCTAAAAATGTTTATAGTCTTTGACATAGTAATTCCATGTCTATATATCCTAAGCAAATACTCAGAGATATAATCAAATCTTAAGAATATAAATATTCAGTACTTGGTTTTTTTTTTGCATCATAGCAAGACATAGAAACAAATCTAAAAGTCCAACAATAGAGAAATGATTTAGTAGATTACGGCATATCCATAGCATGGAATTTTTTTACAGTCATTATACATAATGTTTTAGAAGAATATTGAATAGCATGGAAAAACAGTTAAGGGAATAAGCAGAACATAAAACTAGATGTGCTATATGAGCTCTGGATGGAGAAAATACTACATGAAAATACTCCAGAATACAAACAGCTACTATTTGTGGGTAGTGGGATAATGGAAGACTTTTATTTCCCTTTCCATTTTTCTGTAATAAACATAATTGTTTTTATCAGAATTTGAAGTGATTTTTAAAAAGCATTTAAAAGTTTTTATTTTAAAGATTTTTATTTATTTATTTGTCAGAGAGAGAGAGAGCACAAGCAGGGGGAGCAGCAGAGGGAGAGGGAGAAGCAGGCTCCTCACTGAGCAAGGAGCCCGATGTGGGACTCGATCCCAGGACCCTGGGATCATGACCTGAGCCGAAGGCAGACGCTTAACGACTGAGCCACCCAGGAGTCCCAAGGGTTTAAAAGTTTTTAATCAGGGGCGCCTAGGTGGCCCAGTCGGTTAAGCGACTGCCTTCGGCCGGTGTCCTGGGATCAAGTCCTGCTTTGGGCTCCCTGCTCAGCAGGGAGCTACTTCTCCCTCTGTTGCCCCCCTGCTTGTGTGCTTGCTCTGTCTCTCTCTGTCAAATAAATAAATAGAATCTTTAAAAAAAAAAGATTATCTTTAAAAAAAAAAGTTTTCAATCAGAGCTTGAAGTGCTTTTTAAAAAATCTAAAGAGTTTAGGGGTGTCTGGGTGGCCCAAACTGTTAAGCGTCTGACTCTTGATTTCCGCTCAGGTCTTGATCTCTGGGTCAGGAATCCAAGCCCCACGTTGGGCTCCACGCTGGGCATGGAGCCTATTCAAAAAAAAATTTAAAAATAAATAAAAATCTAAAGAGTTTAAAGGTATAAACAGTAACTGCTCCGAGCATAGAAATCCAGTTTCCAGCTTTATCCTAAGTGTGTTTAAGCTATGAGGCACTAGCTTCTGAGTAGGAACTTGAAGACCTCCCTGTGAATAAAGTCCACGAGGTTTAGCGCGTGTAATTTTGGGTGCTCAGCTGGGCTGCACGGAACTCTTTATTTTCTGACTTTCAGTCCTAGATAACTGAGACTAACAGTAGAATCGAGTACTTGCTGGGTCAGGTTTTATTTCTGTGTTTTTTTAAGTAATAAAATAAAAAGTCTTCTGGAAACCACGAGGCTGATTTCCCTTTCAGGGCCTTTGCTCGAAAGTGGTGCGGAAGCCAAGTCCAAACGAAGAACTTGCTTGCCGGCTCCGTGCCCCAGCGCCAGGACGATCAGCTTGTGGAACATCCTGCGGAATAACATCGGGAAGGATCTGTCCAAAGTGGCCATGCCGGTGGAGCTGAACGAGCCCCTGAACACACTGCAGCGGCTCTGCGAGGAGCTGGAGTACAGCGAGCTTCTGGACAAGGCCGCACAGATCCCCAGCGCCTTGGAAAGGATGGTGAGGAGTTCACCTTCCAGCGGGGCGGTCCTGCCCCTGCGCCCGAGCCGCCAGCAGGCCACTCCCGGGGGCCCAGCGGTGCTAAGCCGAGCAGAGCCAAGCTCTCGGCTCTGCCTTGTGTCTTCTGGATTCTTGTGCAGACACGTTCATTTCTCACCAGCGTCTAGTTCCCCTGTGCCCAGCGGTTTTCCATCATGTGTCAGGATTTGCCATTTCGGGGGAGCTTCTCTGTGACAGTTGGTGCCTCTGGGTAGTTCTGCTCTGTGGTTTTACGCTTCCTTTTTCTCCAGAACCTTACAAGTGATTGTTCTGATATGCCTGACTGGACAACATGTCTTGAGGGCTGTCTGCATGTTTATTTTTTATTATCCCGGGTAGACAGAATTTAATTTCTCAAGTGGTTTTTTCTTGTCCAGGGTGAATTTCCCCTGAGAATGTTTTTGTTTATTTTGGGGTCCCACAAGCAACTAGATTTTTGAAAATAACGTTTGTAGTCGAGGTTTTTACATAAGAAAGATGATTGCTCCCCCCCCCCACTCTTATTCTATAGAGTAAGTAAACAAAACAAAACAAAACAAAAACTCTCTTAGAAAAATTCACCTTCTGTTCGCTACTCAGTATTGCTTCTGATCACGTGATGGGTGGTCCAGCGAAGGCGCCCCCAGGTGTTTCTCATATTTCCCCTGTCTTGTGGGGTGGTGATAAGGGACCCTGGTGGTCAGATGACAGTCAAATTGGCCCTTTCTGTGACTAGCTGAGTGTCCCTCTCTCTCTTGGCTCCCTCCTGTGTTACCTGCTCCACAGTAAGGCCATTGTTTGTATGGGCGGCTGGGACCTCAGTGTCTTTCCCCGAATGCAGTCTCTGTCCTGGGCATTTGCTGATGGGCTAAATTGGAGTCGGCGCAGCCCCTGGGCTTCAGGGACCTGACCCTAAGTCATCCTCTCAGTGATGGAGGACACCATTCTTTTTAAAATTCTAAGCCTTCCATAGTTTTGACCCTTATTAAAACTTCATTACGTTAGTAATTTGAAGATGAAGGGGAAATCTGGCTGTGGATGAGAGAGGCATCCCATGTTGTTCCACAGTCTCCGGGGACTTCTCCGTCAAAGAGACTTTCTTGATACTAATGATAATAAGAGTAGGAGAGCAGAAACAAGCTCTGTGTGTTTTTTTTATCTTCTTTGTTACTCTTTCCTAGAGAATTTCTGCTGAACAAAGGGAGGCAAATAGCTTCTTTTTTTTTTTTTTTTTAAAGATTTTATTTATTTATTTGAGAGAGAGAATGAGAGACAGAGAGCACGAGAGGGAAGAGGGTCAGAGGGAGAAGCAGACCCCCCGCCGAGCAGGGAGCCCGACGCGGGACTCGATCCAGGGACTCCAGGATCATGACCTGAGCCGAAGGCAGTCGCTTAACCGACTGAGCCACCCAGGCACCCGAGGCAAATAGCTTCTAACACAAGGGTGGAAAGTCAACATTTGTGGACAGCTCTTTTCTTAAAAAATTGACTTTGAAGATGAAAATATTCTTCATGGTGTTTCATTCTTGTGGCGATTTAGACACCCTTAGGATGTCAGCTGATAGATTGGTGGACTTGACCTGGAGAAGGAGTTTGAGGGAAGGCTTTGCATTCCAGTACAATGCACCTGGAAGGGAAAGGACAGGAAGGCATTGCACAAGAACCATAGCTGTGGGTTGTTCACTGCCCTGCAGGTCAGCTCATGCCCCTGCATAGGATCCCTCTCAGGCTGCCTCATTGTGCCTGCTCCCTCCCTCCCTTCTGCCCCCAGCGTTATGAATGACACCAGATTCTGTTCTATTTTAAATTGTGAAGGTGATTCAGGCTTGATTCAACATTCCGTAGAGGCAATGTGAGCTTACTGTTTAACCGGTAACCAACATATGGGGAAGCAAAGAGAGGAACAGACTCCAGATTTCCAGAACAAAGACAGAATTGAGCATACTGAATTGGTTTTTATAAGCCATCCAGATGTTCTACAGTATTCTGTAGTGTGAGTGGAAAGGTGGGTCCTATTTGCAAAAGGCTTAAGAAAAGTTGTGTGACTAGTGAACATTCATGAAAGGTGCTCAGCTTTTTTCCCCCCCAGTATAAGAAATCTCATGAAATGTGCTGGGAAGGGGAGGCATTGAGATTGTTACTCACTGGTAGAAAGGGTAAGTTGCCATCACTACCTAGGTTCAATGTTTTGTACCCGCTCCCCCAAAAAAGACAAGAAAAATAATGGGTCTTTTTGGTGCCCTGAAAGGGGAACTGATAAAAATGCTGAGAGCCTCACAGTGAGTGCTTATATCATGTTTATCTGTAGTCTTTCCTTCCTTTGCCTTTTGATTTTTCATTTTTTCTCCCAGAAAAGCCAAGACTCTTTCAAAGGCACCGTGCCCTGTCCTGTGGCTTGTTACAGGAAACTCAGGAAATTACTATCACAGATTTTTTGTCAAAATGAGCTTGTAGGTTTCCACGGCATCCAGCTAGGAATGGTTGCTTTTCCTGAATTTTGAGGGAAGTTTGGCCTTTTTTTTTTTTTTTTTTTAATGCTCTTCTTCTCTCTCGTTCCTGATTATCAGGGTTAGAGGTACTGGACTTAGCTTAACAGCTCGAAGAAACAGGGTAGCTCACTTGATAAATATCACCCTCTTGAAAGCCTCTCCCAACTGGCATCAGAGCAGACGGGCCATTTGCAAATGTTTGCTTCATTTGTCTCTGGGCCAAACTGAACTTTATTTAACCCTGCCGCTGTGAATCAAAGTTGGTTCGGTTGTCTCTAAACCAGAGACAGATTGTTGGCTTTCCAAAATAACCCATAAAGAGAGAAATAAAGGTTTTATTTTGTTCATGACTTTGTAAAAAAATGTCTTGGTGACAGAAAAATAATCAAGTTCTTTCCTCCCTCCTCAGGTGTACGTGGCAGCTTTTGCCGTATCGGCATATGCATCTAGCTACTTCCGAGCTGGGAGCAAGCCCTTTAATCCTCTTCTTGGAGAGACATATGAGTGTATCCGTGAGGACAAAGGCTTCCGGTTCTTTTCAGAACAGGTGGATATATACCCTTTTTGTTTGTTGCATACACCCTTTTTATCCACCTGCCCTGGAGGAGTCGCTTACTCCTTCCATTACATGTGCTTTTGAAATATTTATTGTCCACCTTTCACTGGCTTTAAAGCAGCTGAGATAATTATAGTGCTTTTACACATAAAGAGAAGGAACGATTTCCCTTGCACTGGAACCTGACCACCCGCATGAGCATGAGGGCACTAGCAGGGTGGAGCAGGCCTTTGACCGTAGGCATCGACGGAGCCCTCTTGTGTAGAGCCATAGCGAGACAAATTTGCAAAGGATGAAGCATTTGCCCAAACTGATTTAAAGGTTTCAAGTGTGCACCCTTACTCATTGATCTTGTCCTTCTAGAATATGAATGCTCCCATCAAAATGGGTAGCACCAACTACAGACATTATTCTTGAATTCATTCATGTATTTATTCATCCAATCAATAACTATTTCTTGAGAATGTAACTCATACCCAGCATTGTTCCGGGTGCGGGGAGACTGCGGTGGGATGGGAGCTGGGGTCAGACAATGCCTGTCTTCATCTGATGGAGGGACATCCTTTATACTTACGTAGCCTGCATTCCTTGAAGTTCCATGAGCCTTTCCCACCTAAGCATTAGCCGATAATAATACTCGAGAAGAAAGAGCAGGGTCTCTGGAGCCAGCGTAGGTTCAGATCTGAGCTCTACCTCTCACCAGGTTTGTAACCCCGGGCAAGTTACTTAACCTTTCTGTGCCTCAGTTTCCTCTTTAAGGTGGAAATAATGACAGTGATACAGACCTCAGATGGCTTTGTGATGATTAAATGAGATACTCTCTACCACACACTCGGCACGGTGTCTGGTACATGGAGGATGAAGTGTTACATGAGTGTTTGCAGTCATGATTAATGCATGACACCAGTTTGTAATAGTGGGATATTGGGAACATCCCAAGTATCTGTCAATAAGGAATTGTTCAGCTAAGATAGGATGCACTGATACCGAAAATAAAAAAGAATCCTCTCACCCCTAGTTAAAACAACGACCCAACATGTCCACCCTCCGCATATCCTTAAATGTCAGCCTAGGAACATTAAACACATTTGCTTTGATACATTTCTCTCCTCGCAGTTCTTAGAAAACTGAGGAAAAATGGGTGGGATGCTAGCATATTATTTTCCTTCCTCTTATCTTGCTGCCCCCTTTATCAAAAGATTTGCATTTGGGGGGTAGGAAAGGAAAGGCGGTGTAGCTGAGAGACTTAGAAGGATGGTGCTGGTCTTCACTGTCAAGGACAAGCAGTGTTCTTTGAAACTCAAAGGGAAAGGAATATATAATAATCCCAAAGCACATTTTTAGTAGATTTCCATTTAGAAGCCAAAACAAATTAAATACTGATATTGAGGAAGTGAGAGTTAAATCAGAAGATAATTCTATTCAAATTCAACTGGGTTATTTAAATACTAAAGCTAAAATGGAATGGGAATAAATGAAAATATAATTTGGTTACCATGGCATTATATGCACTCATGTAAAAAAATAACGGCCCAAAATAGCCCAGACTACAGCAGACAATCCGGAGAGGATGAATGGTGTAAGAAAAGAGTAGTAACGTGAGCTTGTGTGTAAAGCTGAGCTTCCGTCCCGTGAGCCCCTGACAGGGCAGGGCCAAATACAGGATCTGCTTGCGCACCTCCAATGGTGGCCGAGAGAGAAAGCAGAGCTCCTAGACACGTGTGCACAAAGACAGAAAGAGCATTACATAACTCAGTCTTTGGTTCCGTGAAATGGATCCCCAGGAAATAAGCAAGAAAGAGATCTGGTCATTGTTAATAGTATAGGGTGTGCTGGGTGTAATGGAGACCTGCTCTCACACCCTAACCCCATCACTTCCTCTGTGTGTGGCCTTGTATAAGCTACTTAAACTTTCTGAGCCTCAGTAGTGTCTTTATCTCTAAAACAGGAATGATAATGCTTAACTCCTAGGTTGTAATAAGGCCCAAGTGAAATACTACACTAAGATATAAAATACTTGCACTGAAGACAGTAAACATTCTGTACATGGTTATTGCTCTCATCTTCAGAGGCAACTCTTAAAATTCTTTTTACTATGCAGTGTTAAGAATAGTAAATACGATATATCTACTCTACTAATTCAAGTGGTTTGAAGGGCAGACTGTCCCTACTGAGTCTCTGACAGAAAGCCAGCCATGTGGTACCACCAGTCCTGATCGTGATGGAGCCACTTCATCTGCCTGGAATTTAGCCTTATGGCCTCAGATAGTTGGTTCTTTGACTACACCCAAGAATGGATGAGTCTCCCAAGGACAGAGTCACCCTAGCTAAGCCTTTAAGAAACTGACGTATAAACTAGGATGCTATTCTATGCATTTATTATAAAAAATAGACCTGTCCTGGGGACCAGAAGGCCTTGATCACATGGCCAGGCATCCTTTCTCCATAAACAGATTACTTGGGAAACCAGAATTTCATCACCAGGTGAGTGTAGAATGAGAAGGAGAGGTGGCTGTTGAATTCGAGGTGCTCAGCTGCCCACTGCCCCAGGAGTGGAAGGGGTTTGGGCCAGGGCTCTCCCTCTCCTGGCCACCAGGAGACACAACACCTCAGCCTCCTGCACTCCCTCTCCCAGCCTTGCTTATGCTGACCTGCTGACTCATTGTGCATGAAAACCTTCTAATTTCACACACTGACAGAGCGCGCTGGGCTTTTAGTATGTTGCATGCTGGTACCTGCCAGTGTGGCTCTTTCTGCTTCTGGCCCAGGAGGCGTCCTACCTTTATGGAGCAGCATGACTCTAGCAGCATGTATTAACTTTCAGAGTTTGAGGCTTTCTTTGCTTTCTTGTACTCTCTACAGTGAGTCAAGTTTACTGAATGACTAATGTAATAAGCTGGCTGGGACTCCCAAATTAATATTTTTGGGTGGGATTTTACTCTAACGAGGATGTTGATGGAACTCCTATATCCAAGTGAAAGGACCTGGAAGGAAACTAGGGTAACTCGGCTCTTCTATGGAGTTCTTGAGATTTGAAAATCTACATCTATCCTTTACTCCAAGGCTCTGGATGTTGTTTTGTGGTTTGGATGGGGATGTGGTTGTTCGAAGTGGTCAGTGGCCAAAGACATTGAAGTAATCGCTTCTTCACAGAGTTTGGCTCCATCACAGCTCACTCCTCTGTATTGTCTCTTACCTAAAAGACCCCAAAATGCACCATCAAAATGACTCATGCAGTCAGAGACCAGTGAAGGCATTTGCTGTTCAAATTTTCCTCACAACAATAACCGTTAGGTTTGCAGAGTCCTTTGTGCTTTTCAAACTTGCTCAGGATCTTATTTGATCTTCAAAATACCGCTGTGTGGCAGGTGAGGTGAGGATCAGTTAGAGGCAGGGAAACTGAGGCCTAGAGCATTAACTTTTCTCAGTGCCCGCTGTTTGACTCCAGTGGCCTCCCTCCCTCACCTTTCTTGGGGTCTCTTGCAGGTGTAGTTACTGTGCTCAGAGCTGCCAGGGTCATTGGCTGCCAATGGGAAAATAGTGTTATGTATGCTGATTGGATGGGACTTGGCCTGCCACTGTCACTTAGACCAAACTCGGGTAGGACTTTGTTCCCAGCTCCCATTATTGTCTGGGGTATGGCCTTTGTGAATAAGCAACATTCAGGAGTAAATCATAAACATTCCTCTCCTGTGTTCTACCCTCTGTCTCTTCCACCTTCTCCAGGGAGGAGTTTGCTTTGTGCCAAGAACTGTGATTCAGCCTTGGCTGTCTAAGCTCATAAAAAGGGGAATTCAGAAAGGACTTCCTTTTTCTCCTCAGGGACTGGGTGTCCTGCTGAAAGGTTCTTCCTTACTTGGTTCTCCTGCCCCCTGGCAGGCAGCTGACCAACTGGTTTGGAGCTTCATTGGAGACTGGGTGGTTCAGAAAACTGATTTCAGTTAGCTTTGCTTCTCTTTTTATACCTTTGGGAAAGGTTTTATATATAAAGGCTATGCAGTTAAGCTGTTACCTAGAAGAGATCATTCCTGATGGGGCTCTGGAACTTCAGTTGTCAGATCATTGTTGGAGTCGTTCTAACCATTTATGCCCCCCTGGGTCCCCCTCCCCCAGCCATGTACTGTTGAGAGTTCACGACAGAAAAGCTAAATGGAGTTATTGGAAGTTACTAACCTATAAAAGATGCAAATGAAGTCTTTTTTTTTTCCTTTGCTCCCTGGCCTCAGCCCTCCTTGCTTTTCTGTTACTCATCACGAGAACTCTGAACATACATTCTTGGACAGACTTATAAATACCATACCTATCACTTCTCTCCCTGCATGCTCACTCACGATAAAACAGCTCTTTTATCTACTAGTAGGCAGAGTTTGTCACTACTGATTAAAGTGGCGTCTTATTTAAAGAGGTTATCAGAAGGGAAATGCAGGCCGTTCAAATAGAACTAGCAATTGATCAAATACAAGGCAGCTAAACCAGTTCTCCACTTCTGGGTCAAGTCATCACTTGTCAATGGGTGTTTTTGTTTCTGGTTTTGGCGAGAAGCCATGGGTTTGTCAAACCAAGTGATGAACTCTGAACATGGGGGAAGAGAAAATAATTGGTGCAACTGCATTCTCCCCCAAATCAGCCAGCATCCTTGGCATCATCCTTAATAGCTTTTTCTTAGAATCCATATCCTATTGATCAGCAGCCAGCCATTTTTCACTGCCTCCCCCACTGTTGCTGGCCTCCAAACCCAAGCCAATGTAATCAATGACTAGGATCATTGCAGTAGACTCATTAGCTGGCCTCTTGTTTCCATAACCAATTCCTCACCCAACAGCCAGAACGATTGCTTCAAAACAGGAGCAACACCTGCTCTACACCCTCCAATGATTTCCCCTGTCACTTGGAATAAAATCCAAAGTCCTGGCCATGGCCCCACAAAGCCCCTGAGATGCTAGCCCGGAGAGCAGGCCTCTCCCACCTCTGCTCATTTAGCGTCAGCCACACTGGCCTTCTGCCTCTCTTAAAACATTCGGAGCATTGGCCAGCCCTGAGCAGTGCCCGTGTCCTCTGCCTGGGATGCGCTTCTCCCAGTTTTCCACGTGGTGAACTTCCTTATTTATTCTAGCCCCAGACGATTCCATTGTAGAGAGTCCTGCCCCTACCACCCTGTCTGGAATAGCACTCCCACTTACCATCCCCCCATCCTCATGCCTTGCATTCTGCTCCTTAACACCTGTCACTACCGACAAATTATGTCCTTATTTCTTTATCTATCTCGCCCACTTCTGCACCAAAATGTATTGCATCCCCAGTGATTAGGACAGTACCGGACACATCAGAGGCAGTCAGTAAATGATGAGTGCCATGGGATTTCTCACCTGGCTCCTGCACCTGCATGATTTCTCAACCTGCACTCGTCCTCTTTTCTATAAGCTGCCCTTCGAGGTTGGAGGCGAGTCAGGAACTAGGTAGAATCTATAGTTAGGTCTTTGGACAGCTGCAGAAATGATGTATTTAAGGGATATTTTTCTAAATCTGAAAAAGATATACTCACACAAATACGCAAATATTAAAATGTACTCTTTCCCCATCTGCTTCTCCCCATACCATTCACCTCTTACATTAAGTACATTTAAAGCATAAATAAAAAATGATCAGGTCAGGGTGAAGAAAGTCTTGAGATACACAAATAAATGACAGGAATTCTCAACTAGTAGGGGAACTCACTGACTTTGGGCTTATAGAAAGAAAGATACATATAAATACCTGCACAGTAAGAACCATATATACTAAATTCCTGAATGTTTGGGAATCTTTACCAATTGGAAATTGCTCTTATTTGGGATGGAGAGGAGGAGGCAGAGAGGGATGCTAAAAACCCATCTAAATTGGATTTATCCAGTAAGCTGACAGACAGTGTCTGCTTCAGGGCTGGGTCAGTTCAGACTCAAAATCAAATACCTTTCTGGGTTACATCTGGGTTAAGATGTAACGAGAATAGAAACTCAACTAAATCCAACACTAAGACAGGTTAGATTGTGCTCATCATTCTCTATTCCAGTAGATTTTAAAAAGATTGCCATCAACAAAAATTAGATTATGAACTTTGAATTACCCCCTTTCAATGGACCTTTGAGTTAGTCAAAGCCTTAGTATAATCTTTTTCCAATTGGCTGATGCTAGGATTTGAAGAGACATTGAGAATTAGATATTAGATTTAGAGCATTTTGAAGTCAGAGGGACTCTCAGACCTCATTTTACAATGACATAAATGAGACTCAGAGAAACTGGAAGTTCAGACTCAAAAGATTCTTTGTCTAAATATCCATGAGATGAGATCTTAATGGTGTGTAGAGGCTTTGGGGGAGGACCAGAGCCCAGCTTTGAGAGCAGCCATAGAGAGACAACTGGGACATAAAGAAAAAAGCACTGGATTTGAGATCAGAGGACCTTAGTTTAAAGCACCCCCACCATCACTAATTAACTGTGTAGCATTGGACAGGTTCTTTGTTTCCTAATTTATAGAATAAGGCTAATGAAGACACAAGGTCACCATGGTAACTCAGTGGAAATACTACTCATGAGAAATGGCTAAAATTTAGTCCCTGCCCACTTCATACCAGCATAAGGTCCTGTAATTTTATATGTGTCATCTTTTTGTTTGCAAAGCCGGTGGGATTAGCCCTATTTTATAGATGAGGTAACTCAGGCCCAAAGACTTAAAAACTTGCTCAAGGCCCTTCAGCCATTAGATGATGTTGCCGAGTTAAGACCCACATCTCTGGGACTCCAGAAGCACCCCCTTGTTCCCTGATGCTAGTTCAGCACACGGTAGATGCTCTAGAAATGTTTCATGAATAAATACCTGTTGTGAGGAAATATATCAAAGAAAAATAAGACTTCACTTTAATTTTCCTGGGAAGCTTTGTAAACTACTTAAAAGCAGTGTGCACCAAATAAATCACTCCCAAAGGCCCTTTTAAGCCAGGAAGAAAAAAAAAAAAAAAAACCAAAATCACTGATATTTGAATGTTGAGATTTATTCATCCAGAAAACAGCTTTTGAACCCACGTAAAGGTATTCTGCTAAGCACTGATTCATGTATCTGACACAATAGTTTTAAAAGGTCGAAGTTGCTTTTTTATGGGACGTATATATATTTTATGGTATAAGAGGGCTTCTTTTTATAGTTCATGTGGGTAGTATATTTATCCCAGTTTTATGGAATTTAAAGTTATTACAGAAGAGGTTTATAGTTTGTATATACTGTATTTTGCTTTGATGTTTGATGTTTGTAGCCAGATTTGGCCACACCTATAAAATGCCAAATTCTTGATCAAGGCTGTGAACCCTACATTTTTTACTACAATTGTTTCTGTGGGAATGAATATGATCTACTTTTAATAATCCACTTTAAAATATGCCTACGTTCTGGGGGAAGGGGCACATTCCATAGCTCCTCACCAGCTGCACTGAGGGGTGGGGGGGAGGGAAGGAAGAAGTAGGGTGCAGGTGTTGTCTTCCCTGGTTTTGTTTTATATGATCCCAAGGTTTAATAGTTAACTCCACTGTTTTCACTGCGAGCTGGTGGGGGAGGAAGGGGGAATCGGGATGCAGCATTTTGTGATATAAAGTATCTCCAAGGAGTTCAATGAAAAAAAGACAATGAAGGCCCGCAGAGAGTTGCATTTTAGGACTTAGGCTTCTAAACCATGCTGGAAGTGAAAATTGCTCTGCAAAATCCCATAGGCACAGAGAGAGGGGCCACATTCCTAAGAGGCTGTGGGAACTAAAATCATCCAACGGGTAGCAAATTTGCATCTCCCACCTCATATCAGATCTGGCATTTATGTTCATTGAAACCTGAAAGATACATGGACTATTGAAATCTTTGTCTCTACTTTTCTTCGGGTCAAGCTGGTACAGTTGAAATTCCATCAGTTAAATGTGTATGTGGAATGACTTTCCTAGCCTAGCCTAGCCTAGCCTAGCCTAGAGTTCTCCACCTAAAGTGACAGGCACATACAAGTGGTTTTCACACCATGTTCCTCATTACAGCTGAGGGTCCAGAACAAGGTGAGTGATTGGAGATGTGTCACCTCCCCACTGAATGAAAACCACTGATGTAAACCGAAAATGCTGGGTTTGACCTCTGTTTCTTCCCTGTCGGTGTGTTTGGGAAACATTATTGAATTTTTCTGGTTCTGGTCTCCTCATGTGTAATGGAGGCATTAGTTAGGCTGGATGCTCTAAATGTAAGATACTTGCTAAGAACCAGCGAAGTCAGAGAAACTGTGAAATGCTGCTGGCTGCATGAGTCTGGTTTCACTGGTCCTGATTTATAATCATGGTACGTACACTGCTCACTTGCCTTGCGTTACTGAGATAAGAGGAAACCCAGCTCAGGAGCCATTTTCTCTTTAGCTTCTTCATTAGTGAACAGAACAGAAGTAATGACCCCAGGGACAAAACTCAGGGAAATGTGCAACAGTCTCCGTTACAGGGGATTCTCTTTCCGGGAACAAAATTACATATTTACTCGATTTTTTTATCTTGACAGAAAATGAATAAAATGTTTTTCTTAGTAGTTGACTAACATTTCTTCAATAATTGCTTGGCTCTTTTTTTATAGAAACATTATTCTTTTAAAAAAATTGTCTTAGACCAGTCTTATAGAGGATTTGAAAAGAGGCTGAGTTTTGTGATGCAGAGTTTTCAAAACAACAAAAACTGCTGAGCCAAGAATATTTTTGTGTTTCTCAGAGGTAGCATTTTAAAATATTTATTATCTGATATCTTAATTAAAACATTTGCAGGTACTTTCTCAACAGCTAATAGAGATTTTGACATGGGTAGCCAGTGTCGGATTATATGGTTTAAGAGCGGGCAGCCCTTGCTTGACCCTGCTTTTGTTTTTACATCTTTCAAAACGTGTCTCTATCCCCAACATTTGCCTCTTGGCTGTTTTTCCTGTACTTCAAGAGGCTTCCATGCACCTGATTTCTTCTCACGCCTGACAAACTTGAGCGAATTGGGACTGACTGTATCAGGAGCGCCCTCTTGAGGACCGGTTTGTTGAAGGAAAACTAAAGTTTTGATTCACTTAGACACTGCACACTGTGTTACCTCTCAAGGCAAGGGCGAAGGAATGGATTTCACGAGACACAAAAGTGAATTAAGTTTTTGTTTTCTGGCCTTTGTTTCCATCAGGTCAGCCACCATCCACCTATCTCTGCTTGTCACGCTGAGTCTGGAAATTTTGTTTTCTGGCAAGGTAATGTGCTCATATATTTGTCCTCTGTCATTTTTTGTAATGTTATAGATCTATTTTATTCAGGAACTACTGCAAGTGCTTATTAAGGTCACAAGTAGGACCCTGGACTTGGGCCTTGTTGCATGGATCTGCTCCACTTGGTATTCTTGCCTCTCATCCCTGGACAATTACCGATACTTGTCTACTTCATAATTAAGGATTCAGGAGGATAATTTAGTTGTGCCCTTAAAAAAAAAAAAAAAAAAATTCTTCATCTGTGTCTGGGCCACCACCATTTATTCCTGTAACTTTTTCTCTAATTCCACAGCCACTTGAAATGCCTTGTGTATTTCAAGAGACATTAAATATTTACAGGTATTTATCAGAGTCTAGACAACAGGGTTCTTTTTGCTTTTGAAAAGTTTTAATTTTATTTCTAAACAGCACGTTTTAGATTGCTGAGTTTTTTTAGTTTGGGGGTTGTTGTCTCTCTTCAGTTTGGATTTTGGATTTTGGAAGAGGGTGGGTTGTTCTGAAGAATAAATAAGACTGCAAATATTTTCTAAATGGATTAATTAATTTTATTAACTTAGATATTTATTCAAAAGGCACAGTGTACAATTTGAGGAAAATTTGAGCATCTTGGCTTTTCAAACAATGAGCACCCATCAGTTTTTAAAGCATTTTTCTCTGTTAACAGTGATGACACTTGATTTACCCCTTTGCCTTAAAAAAAAAAATCTATGTAATTTAAGAGTTTTGAAAATACACTTTGTTAAAAAAAAAAAAAAAAAAGCTCCTTCCCCCACCTTAGTCCCCAGCCACCCAGTTCCTCTCTCTGGAGGCAAAATTCCAGGTTAGGTTACAAGTACCTTAGTACTTTTTCTGAATCTTTGCCATTAAAGGTTAGAATTGAAACTTGATTAAAAACATCTCTAACGTTCACTGAAACCCCCTGGGAATAATTCTTATAAGATCTGTAACCTTCTAATTGCTAAATGTTATTGACCCCGTAAGCACTTTATTATTATTTTTAAGTAATGGATTAGACAACGAGAAGGACTTTCTCCAAGTAGTTTCTGTGTGCTCCTTACCTTACACAACAGTTTTCTCCTCAGTCCCCTTCTTTTCTTCCTCATCAGCCTTTTTCCTGGGCAGTCCCACGTATTCCCATAGGCTCACAACTCCCAAATCTTGCTTTTTAATCCAATCTGACATTCCTCTGCCTTTTAATCATGTTGCTTAGGCCATTTACATTTATTATGATTATTGATATAGTTGGATTTAAATGTGGCCTCTTAGTATTTGTTGTCTTTTTGTTGCATCTGTTCTTTTTTTTTTAAAGATTTATTTATTTATTTGAGAGAGCGAGAATGAGAGAGAGAGAGTACATGAGAGGGGGGAGGGTCAGAGGGAGAAGCAGGCTCCTTGCTGAGCAGGGAGCCCGATGCGGGACTCGATCCAGGGACTCCAGGATCATGACCTGAGCCGAAGGCAGTCGCTTAACCAACTGA